GATTGGGGAAAGTGAAGGTCAGAGAAGAGAAGGAGCCCAAACCCCTCATGCCTGGATCCCAAGAGGCCAACTAGGCCATTGCTCTGAGTTCCCACTTGTCCTCCCAAAACTGATGCTGCTCTGGTAAACAGTAGAGGAAAGGGAGGAGGCAATTAAACCAGGGAAAAAAGACAAATTAAGCCCAATGAAAGATTCTGAAATTTTGCCTCTATCAGATAATCTTTGAAGGTTTTAAAAAATGGCAAAAGCAGGGCCAACAAAATAGCTCAGTGGATTAAAGCACCTGCTTAGGCAGGCACAGGGACTGGAATTCAATCCCCAGCACCTGCCCCTGGGTGTGCTGAGCTGGCCATTGAGACCAGGCATGGTGGCACATGCCTATAATCCCAGCACTGGGGAGGCTTAAAACAGGAAAATTCCTATGAGTCTGAACTGCATAGTGAGACCCTGTACCAAATACATTAGAAATAATAATAATTAAAGACCAGCCAGATAGCTCAGTGGATTAAAGAACCTGCTTAGGCAGGCACAGGGACAGGGTTTGATCCCCGGAGTGAAATGCTGCCCCCCCCTGGGGTGCGCTAGAAGGTGACTGAGACTAGGTGTGGTGGCATGTGCTTGTAATCCCAGCACTTGGAAGGCTGAAAACAGGAGGATCACTATGAGTCTGATCTGTATAGTGAGTCCCTGTAGACCCTGTCCTACATACATTTTAAAAATTTTTAATGGCAAAAGCTGGGCACAGTAGTGAACAGCTATAGGTCCAGAAGCTTAGGAGACCACGATAGGGAGATTCTTTGGCTCCAGGAGTTCAGGTTGGCCAACTTTCACACTATAACAATAGCAATACCCTGTCCCTTAAAAAAAAAAAAAAAAGCAAACAAAAGTGCTTGCAGTACAGCATATGTTTATCTTGTGTGTGGCCCTGAGTTCAATCCCCAATATCAAAATAAAGTTATATTTTATTTGACATATGTCAGTATGATTTTCTCTTTTCTTTCTTCTTCTTCTTCTACTTTTTTTTTTTTTTTGAGACAGGCTCTCACTAAGCAGCTCAGGCTGTCCTTGAGCTCACTTTGCAGCCCAGGCTGGTCTGGGACTCACAGTGATCTTCCTGCCTCAGCTTCCTGAGTGCTGAGATTATACATGTTTGTCACCATGCCTAGCTGTCAATATGCTTTTGAAGATATATTGTATGGTCCACTGATACCAGAATGATTTAAACAGTGGTTTACAAAAGAAGACATCATGCATGCCTGTAATCCCAGCACTCGGGAGGCTGAGACAGGAGAATTGTTGCAAGTTTGAGACCAGACTGGACTACAGAGTGAGCTCAAGGTCAGCCTGAACTGCACAATGAGACCCTATCTCAAACAAGCACACACACACACACACACACACACACACACACACGCACATGCACACGCACACACACACAATGGAGATTAGTGGATGTCTTAGTTACTTTTCTCTCATTGCTGGGACAAAATACCCAACACCCAACATTAAGGAAGGAAAAGTTTATTGAGCTCACAGTTGGTGGAGGTTTCAGGCCATATGCAGCTGGCTCCAAGGCAGAGTGGCACATGGCAGAGGGCAGATGTTCATGGTGAGGGAAAAGAGCAGAGAGACAAGAAAAGGTCTTCAGCTATGGCTTCTGGAAAGCCTCTCTCCCCTCCTTGCATTAGAATGCAGATTACGCACCCCATTTCAGAGAGAGTGCTCATACCCATATTCCCCTCATTGGATCATGAATTAATCACAAACTCTAGAAGCCACCCCATGACTGCATGAGGCTTTGAGGGGGACACCTAGACACAAACCGTAACGCTTGACAACCAGACTTACAGAAGCTGGCTGTTAAGATATGGAGCCCAGAAAGTTCTATTATTAAACATCACAATTTTAAAAATAAATAATAGGGCTGGTGAGATGGCTCAGTGGTCTAAAGCACCTACTTAGAACAAGCTTAGCAAAGCACAGGGACCGCGGTTCAATCCCCCAGCACCACATGCC